TTTTTTTTTTTTTTTTTTTTTGTCATATTTTTCCCTAACTACATGGGTGATCCTTTACTTGATGTGTTAAATCTAGGAGCCTAATGATTTTGTTCATCCACGTATAATTACTGTGATACGCAATGGGGTAAAGCCACGTCGAGTTTTTCGGCATCTTCTAAACAAAAAAACAGCTCGGTCGTTTTTGCAGGTTTTCCTTTTTGCTATTTCTAAGTAATGAGTCGTTGATACATGGTTTAAATAATGTGCTTTATTAATTTTTTGAATCAGTTTTTTTCTTTTTGGTTACAAGCTTTACGTACCTGAGTCTTTTATAACACGTAAGGAAGTTGTTGCTGTTCTTAAGAAAGAACAGAAAAAAATTTACTATTTTTTGAAAATGAAGGTAATATTATTTTTTAAGACTAGCTTTGTGTTTAGAAAGACGTAGAAGTATGACAGTTGATTATAACTGGAGAAATCACAAAGATAAAAATTTTTTAAATTTAAGGTTATCCAGGACATTACTGCTTTGGTGAAATTAGACAGTGGAGCTGTTAGAAAAATTTTTGCAATAAGTGGAAAAGAGGTAGTTTGCCTTCTTCATTATGTACCGTTTTTAAGTGATGTTTAGTGCATTTCTGTTATGTAAAGCTGTCTATGAAATTTTATTTTTAGGTGACATGTTTGGCAGATTTTTTTTTGGAAGATGATATTTTTATTGCCTATGGGAAGGAACGGATGAGTGTGGATGATTTTTACATTGTCACTGAAGGTTTTTTTTATATTAGTTTTTTCTTTGTGTTAATGTTAGTGAACCTTTTCTGTTGCAGTTTTAATGCAAGCAGTTTTCTGTTTTAGAAAGCAAGCGTCTTTACAATTCACGAGCGCACAATCGAACTTTTAAACTGAAAAAAAGAACCATGCCTCAAAGGAACGAGTCAATGAGAGACGATCGGAAAGGCAGCTTTGTGCAAGACTCGGAAATGAGTAAGTATTGTTCTCAAAATTATCGTTGAATTCGCCAAATATTTAATTATTCAATTAAATTAACAGTTTTCTTCTAGGTAGGAAATTGCCTTTATTCTTGGATGATATGATACACATTGTGAAATTGATTGGTGATGGAAACACAGCCTTAGTTTATGAAATAATGTGCAAGTTTGTGTTTTCACTAATTGATGATGCATTTGGTTTGCTTTAAGCTTACCAATTACTCTGTTTAGTCAAAGTTTTTTTTTCTGCTGTTTTTAGTTAAGTTTATTGTTGGAAGATTTGAGGGATTATTGATTATACAAAAGATCGCCAAATGAACTTAGAAATCACTTGTGATAGGGGTGGCTTGGAATATTATGCTGTTTCAGAAAATCTAGAGAAAGGAAGGCGTTAAAAATTATAAGTCGAGAAAATGCCAAGGGGAAAGAAGAGCTTGTACGTTCTGAAATTGCAATAATGCAGAGGATATCCCATGATAACATTGTTAGAATGGATGGCTGTTGGCAATACGAAGGGTCATACTATTTGTCCTTGGAGTTGGTTCCGGTTAGACTTAAACAAGGGCTGCTTATTAGCGGGGTTGTTATAATTTCCTGTCCAAATACCATTTTTTAGGAAGGTGATCTTTTTGAACATCTATGCAGAGTTAAATGCGTTAACGAGAGGTGTGCATCTAGCTTGATGGGTTGTTTGGCCTCTGCCCTTGACTATCTGCATTCACTAAATATTGTGCATCGTGACGTTAAACCAGAAAATCTTTTGGTAAATGCTATTTCATTAATTTTTCAAGTGATAATTGATTGCATCAAGCCGTGTCAGTTTAGGTTTATAATTGTCCTTATACGGGTAACTTGCAACTTAAATTAGCAGATTTTGGATTAGCTGTGGAGATGACAGGTCAGCCGTTAATGGTCATTTGTGGAACTCCTACTTATGTGGCTCCAGAGGTATTGGAATTCTGATAGTTTTTTTTAAAGGAGGGATTCTTACCATCTTTGTACTAAAAATAGCAGGAGAAATGTGACAGAGTTTGTTCAAAAAGTAGTTTATGCTATATTTAGGTTTGTTTTTTCTTGGTAAATTAGAAGTAGATCTTTTCTAAATGTGTATTCGAACGGATGGATATTAATACGGTTGCGTTGTAATAAAAGGGTGTGAATTATGAAGGCTATTGATAAAGTGAAGTTTCAGGTTCTATCTGAGTTTGGTTACGATCATAAAGTGGATCTTTGGGCGGCTGGTGTTATTCTTTACGTCCTTCTCTGTGGTTTTCCTCCTTTTCAGAGGCTTGTACTTAAGTATTCGTTTAGTAGCAGTTTTTTGGTATATATTTTCTTACACTGTTGGCCAATAAGCTAAATTTACTGAAATTTTTGCTAATTTTAGTGTAGATGGTAATCAAGAACAACTTTTTGAGCAAATTATCCGTGGGCAGTTCAGCTTTCCTGCCCCTATTTGGAATAATATTTCTTATTCTGCAAAGGGACTGATTCAAGGTCTTCTGCAGCTTGATGTTGAAGAAAGATTTTCTGCATCTCAAGTTCTTTCGTTTCCGTGGGTTCAGGTACGGTTTTCCATATTTTTTTATGTTGTATACTGTAGTCCTTACTACTGTTATGTCGGAAATTTGATTCAATTCTCTCTGTTGTTCGATACATGGCTGTTAATTAAGTAATATTTTATCGTAACATTTTGAGGGGATTGGAGAGGTTGAGCCAGAATATGAAAAACTTATGGAAGCTGCAGTGAAAGCTCAAGCGCACAGGGAAGGACTGAGAGATTCTCTTGAAGAGAGCAACTTAGAGTTTTTCTTTTCAAGGTAAGAGTAAATTTTTAGCTGTTTGGTCATATCAAAGTAACTTTAGGCAAAGAATTTAGTGGTTTAATTTTGATTTTTTTCAGACGAACTAGCATGAACGGTTTGAGCGAATGTCCGGAGGATAGCTCAGGTGGGTCTAGACGTAACAGCTCCTTTGATTATTTCCCGGTGTTGTGAAGAACCAGATCTCTTTGGTGTTGTTAGGAATGAAATGTTTCTAAAATAAACTAAGTAGGTTCTTTGGAAAAGTTTTCAGGTATTTTTTTACTGTCAGTTATTTTTTTGTTAGTCGCAACAGTCGCTTTCGGTTCTGCATTGAAATCTTCAAACTTTTAGGTACTTTAAGATCTCTTCTAGTTATTATTATTTTTCTATTTTTTTTCGTCCTGGTTTTAGAAAATGTCTTGATTTTAAATTCTACTTAACTGTTTAAGTAACGGACGTTATTTTCTTGAAGCATTTGAAGTGTTTCTATCATTACAGTGTAGGAAACTTATAATTTTTAAGAAGATATCTGCTCAAAAAGTAATGAGTTTGCGTCATGAATTTTTTTACAACAGGTGGTTTATTACTCCAAAGTGGTTTCTCGATGACCTTTGCTATTTCAAATGCTTCTGATTTCGTTACTGGTTTTCGGTTTACTTGTAACGGTTATGTAAAAATTAGTCTTGAAATGTTTGGTGTTTGCTGAAGCTAGTTTAATGCAGCTGATTACGGAAGTTTGCAATCAACTTCTGTGAAATTTTGATGAGAAAAATTTTTTAACTTGGGACAGAGGCACTTAAACCTCTGTTTTTAAAATTGCTTAGAAGTCCAAAAAAGGTTTAAGATAATCTAGAAATGTTTATGCTTTCTACAGGTTCGATTGACCTTTGTTCATTTTTTAAAACGTTAGAAAGATTTTCAAAACAGTCAGCAACATAGCATTTTTTTTTGCCGAACTTGTCGACTCTTAAAAATACCCTTCGAGTCTTATTGTGGCCGTCTTACTCACTAATTAATGTCTACCGGTGCATTTCATCAATTACTGTCCGTTATGTATATATAATACGACCACTAATAACATTTTTGTCGATTCTTTCCATCCTTGCAGTTTTTAGCTGTTTAAGATTGTCTAAGATGAGTACTCAATTTTTGTTTTGTTTTATGGTTTTCCTAAGCTTAACAAGATGTCACTTTGTTAGGTTTGGTGATTATTCATTTACTTTCTTGTAAAATTATCTGATTTAAATATGTTCAAAAAAGTTTGGTTGCCTTTTTTGACTTCGAATAGTAATAAAATTGTTTATTTGTGGTTTTTAGAGAATTGACAATTGTTGACTGACAGAGAGCAAAGCTGTACTGCCCGACGATACAATTCTTAGAATGTCTGAGTGTAGAGCTCAACTTATTATATATTTCATCCATGTCTCACGCTTCTCGAGAAAGTGTCGCTTGGTGTCATGACTACTGTAGAGATAACGCTTTCAAATAAAAGTTTAAGAAAACTAGAGGCTGCTAACAGGAACTTCGATTGTTTTTGGGAATCCGATAAGAAATAAGAACGATTAGAGGTGGAGACTTGGTAAAAACTGGGCAAGTCATTGTGCAGTTGACATTCTCTTTCACTCAGGTCGACTAGTTGCTAAAGGGCCGGTTGCTGACTGTTCTACAAGTCTGAAAGCCAGCATAAAGTGAAGTGGGATTTGATGGACAACGATTTCTAAAGGAACAGTTTTCCAGTGGATATTTATCCATCGAGGGATTTAGCTAAAAGCTGGAAGAAAACGTCGTCCTGGACGAAAAGGCTTCTAAGCATACACCAAACGCTTTTAGTTTTTAAGACAATAGGAAGGCGCACTGACACTCGCGTGTCTCCTTCACGCAAGACTTCAGTGAAGAAACAAACAGCCACGGCAAAAAAAGAATCTCGAAGGTGTAACAAAGCTGAAGAAGAAGTTGTTTGGCTTGTCGCTACACAAGACAGTTGTTGAATGGATAGGATTTAAAATCCATCGTGCATAATTTGCCTTAGCGGAAGTATTCAGAAACGGAAGACACTGTTCCTGTAACGTATGATGATGGTAAAAAGCAGTTTTAAAACTGCAGCTCATGAACCATCGAGCTGCACATCAGTGGTTTTGTGCTTCGGTCTCAGTGAAGCTTTGTAATTTTAGTATCACGATCGGGTTTGTCTATTGAGATCTGTTTTGGTTTTATACGACAGGTTCAAAGTATGAACTCTTTTTTGCCGTACTTTACCGATATCAGGCATAATTATCAAAAGTATATATCAAAGATAACAAGCTGGTAATGATGCTCTTATGTTAGACTTATTCAAAGTATAATTTAAGTTATAACAAGCTATCACAGATGAGTAATGAAAGTTAGTAATTGGAAAAAATACGAAGAAATCTACAGAAAATCACAAGTAGCAAACTTTCAGATCTTTTGCTCCATTCCCGACTAAGTACTGACAAAAAAGTAACCAACAATGAAGAGAGAAAAAAAAATATGCCTCGGCACCTACAAACCCAAATTCACAATAATTTCAGAGGTTACACTAAAATAGTTAGGACAAGCAATCTTCAAAAATTAGAAGGCATTACTTTACAGATACTGTAGCTATATAACACAAAGGAACAATATCACTTAGAATCATGAACTGAGAGTTTTGTCCCATGGTACCTGCCATGGGTTGCCAAATAATTTTGGGCACAAGCAGTGATCACTATTCTAAACAGAAAAAGATGACGAAAGGTTCCAATTCTAAAATACGACTCAATTTCCTTACAAATAACAACAAATCCTGGCCTTTCCCGAAACTGATGAAGGGTATTTTGTCGAGTCATACTCCTTTCTTTAAATAACTAGGGCACTTACTCAAAACACTGCTTCAAAAGTTGGCAGCGTGTAAGGTAACGAAATTAAAGCCGCAGTGTTTTAAGTGAATAAAATTAACCTTCTGAAACTAAGCAGGAATTCACTCTACCAGTTAATACAATTACAGCAAAATTTTTCAAATGAATAATATCAAAAGCCTTCTTGATTTCTACCTTGTTTTTTGACCTTTACTACAGACCTGCATTTAAAATAATAGCAATAACGACTTCTATCTAATACCATCTGAGATACAATTTTTCTTTGCAATTTTGAACTTTTAGCATTACTCACACAACCTCTACAATAAAATGCCTTCGACGAGTAAGACTCCCAACCCTAAATGCTATTAAAGACACATTGACCAAATAAGTCAAACATTACATTCAACAGAAATTGACCATGGATAGTTGCAGGATGTTTTTCCACCTCTGGGACTAGAAACCTCCCAGAAAAAAAATAAAGTTAGAAGTATCCCAGCTGCGCCTCACCTGCTATCTTTTTCATGCTTAGTTAAATTCCACATTTTAAAATTGAATTTTACGTGGCTCAACGGCCGATGAAACCCAGTGAGGTGAAAATCCAAAACCTATGCGTCCCAAACCTTTAAACTGTATAACATTCCAATTCAGAAAAATATTACGTACAAAAAAGTGGCAGTCCTAACAGAAATTTTGATTTTGCTCCAGTTATCTCGCTATGGGACGTAAGGCAATCAAAAAGACCCTATATTTATATAAAATAGTTTCAGTAAAAAATTTTCAAAAGCAACCGTAAAAAAAAATATTTCTTACTTCTTGCGACAAATAATTTGTTGAGATACTCATCATAGTGGCATTCAAACAGAAAATAGTCGATTCAAAATGTTTTCAAATTAGCAAGGTAAAAGTGAAATAAAAGAATTCTAGTACAAACAGGGACTTCAAAACGCATGACAGTGCAGTACTCCCACATCCGTTTTAAGTGCATCCTGCATCACGCAAACTGATAACTTTTCTCCAATTAGCATTGATTATGCATGACCTAATTATAAAAGGCAATTTTGATATAGGTCACTTTTGCTACCAGCAGGTTAGAATCCTCGTCCAGCGGCAAAATTTAGCTCACCGAAAGATCGTAAAAGTTCTTTACTTTTTCTTCTGCTGGCTCGATAGTAAAATAAAAAAGACTGAAAAAGAACTTTTACGGAAATACATTTCAAATTTTTTATGGCTGCTAGGGGACTTTACATTATTTTACATACTGTCAAACTGTATTCTAATTAAACCCGTTATCCAAAAAAATGAATAAGTCAAAACTCTGCTAGACTAAAAAATGAAAATAAATGTATTCTAAACCAAAATCGAGGTATTTTTCCCCTAAATTTTTTTGCACCAAAACCTACTTTGTATAACAGACTACTAAGGGATACGCTTGAAAATAAGACCTATTATTAGAAATCCGTATTCATTTAATTTTCGCATAATTACCCTGATGCGAAAACAGCTTCTTACATCAGTCAATACTATTAGATATAACACGTATATTTTTCCCACCCTAATGGTATGCGAAAGTCAATGTGAACAACTGGTCGAATCAATTCTACAAAATCACTTCTACTTACAAACGTTACAGTTGGAGCCTTGTTGTCCATAAATGCCACACTTGCCCTCAGCTCGGCTTTGTCGTTCCAAGGCGTTTTGCGCCTGAAGTTTTCAAAGCACGCTTTTCGGCCAACTGTTTGCGTCGAGCTTCATTGCGAGCAGCATTTTCCGCTCGACGTGAACTTTTGTTAGACTCCCAAGTATTTTCTGGAATAAATTTAATTAATGCTTCGAAAATGATTAAAAGCACTTATTTATAAAATTTTTTTCATGTTTAAACTTTAAGATTTTTAAATCGGTAAAATGCTTTTCTCCTTGTAAGATTTACGCAAAAAAGTTACTGGTGAAAGAATCATCGCCCCAATCCCCACTCCATCCTGACGAGCCGCTATCGCCGACGCCTGAAAGATAAAAATTTAACTCAATTTTCTTTCCAAAAACTTGTTCGTTAACAAATAAATAGAGAAAGGGAAAAAAAAGCAATTTAATAAGAGTTCCTTCTAAAAAAACATTTTCAATGGTCACCCTGGGAACTAATCTCCCACATGTTAGTCGAAGGTTCTTTACTGGTTTTAGTGGCAGTACTTGATTTGGACTGGATGGGACCAGGTGCATTTTTTCGTTCTGAAGTTATGCCGAGAAGGAAGTCAAGGTCATCCTCCTCTAAAATAAAATATGAGAATGAAAACTGTACCAGTTAGAAAGAATAATGTTAAGATAGTTTACTGAAAAAATATGACGGTAAGTGAAGTACCGCTCGAGGCTGTGGGAACTGAGAAATACCTGAATGTTTCTTAATATCTGACTGCAATTTCAAACTGCCACGGGACGACTCAGTTTTCGGTCTGACCAAAGTTTCTTTCCCAAGTTTCTTACTGCCACTGGTTTTCTGAAAGTAATAAGGTACAAATTCTACCAGAATGGTTTAAAAACTGTTAGATAATTATAACCATGACAACAATTCAGAATACAATCACTAAAGTAATGCAATCAGGCAGGTAAGAGGTAAATACCAGAGCAACTTTGTTTGCTGAGCCATTATCCCAACCATCACTCCAATCACCTTTTTCGGCAGCAGAACCCTCGCTAGCATCCTCCCAATTCTCCTCAGTCTCATTACGAACTTCCAAAAATTCATCTCGCAGATCATCCCATCCATCGCTGCTATTTGTAACAGTTTTAGAAAGTTCTGGTTTTAGCTTTTCTTCTTTAATGCCTGAATCTGCATCCAATTTTGAATTATTACTACTTGCTTGTATTGATAACTTATTGGCAGATATTCCGCCAGAAGGAGGAGGAGGATTTTTATAAAACCGTCCAGATAATGACTTAAGGGCCCAGCTAGCCCACAGAGGAACCTATAACAAAAGTGAAGTCAAATTACTATAAGGGTTTCAGAAGTGCAATGAAACTGACAAGCAGAATAAGAAAAGCTTTGTACATAACCTAACCAATGCTTCTCTCAAAAGCTTTTTAAAAAACACATCACTCGCTTAAAGCGCGCGTTTAACGCGAAGCGAAGTTCAGATTAACCTTTTTTAAATTAATTTGACAAATGAAAAGACCAACACAGCAGCAACGCGGAAGTAAGTAAACATGCAAAAAATACAAGGATCTCAAAAGTCCTCAAAAAAAAAAAGAAATACAGTCTCTCCAAATGAAAGACTTGAAAACCAGTCTGGCGACGAACTTTTCATTAACTATTTAAAAAACTCATGCTTAAGTTAAAAGTACCAAAGTAATGTTTTCCAGCAAAGAAAAATAAATGAAAAATGAAATGTAAAAGAACATTAAAACGAAAGAAAAATTAAACACTCTTAAATTTCCGCTGATACGATTCACGATTTGTACTTGGTTTTTCACATTTCTTGTTAAGAAAAATGAAGAAGGAAAGACAAAACTAACTTTATCATTACTCAGCAATCCGCTCTTTCCACCAGCTTGCACTTGAGCTTCAAGTTCTGGAATCATTTCTGGATTTTCACTAGCTTTTTCTAACTTTTCTAAGAATCCTCGCAAAGCTTTGAAAGCTTGATCCCTAACCTGAAAAGATGATAAAGAAACGTAAAATGCTGTTTGAAAACTCGCAGAACAGTTTTGAAGAAGAAGGTGAGAGAACCAGGTTGCATAAAATCTAAGCCGCCTAGAACTCATCTGTAGGGACATGAGCTGAAATACCCAAATTTACAAGAACTGCCCTACTAAAAAATTTAACTGTACCTGTTTTTCTGGATCACAAGTTAGTGGCGAAAGCGATGGTAACACCTTGTTTGCGACTTCGACTAATGAGTAATACTGTTGAGTGGCACTTAATGCCAAGACTGCCGCAATACGAGAAGGAGGAAAAGGATCTTTCATGGCCCGTGTGAATGCACTAATTAAAATCCGCTGTCTCTGTGAAGGTTCTATATAGCAACCAATTTTTCCCAGACAAATAGTGGTATTTGTCCGTATACCCGGTTGGTCATCCGAACCTGGTAAAATACAGCTTACTCACATTATTAAAGTAAAAAAAAAACGCTTTGTAAACGAAATAATTCCGTAACAACCTTGAAGCCGTGCCAGATATTTCATTAAATCAGTATTCAAGTTGTGAGAATTTAGTTTTTCAGCCAGAGAAACCATTGCCTTTACAGTACTTTCACGAACAGCAGGATTCGTGTCTAAGAAACCCGAAGCAATGTTTCTAAATAATTATTACAATATAAATTAAAACTTTTCTACGCAGTGATAAATATTATCGGAAAGAGAAGAACTAGGCAAGGAAAAAGACAATTTCAAGGACTACTAAGTGCAAATAGGAACTAAAAAATTACGGAAAAATTTTCTCATTAACAACTTGAGGAGTGAGGTGAGGAGCAAATTCATCAATTTTTTCTAGCAGTTTCACGCGAGTCACGCGGTCTGGAGAACTGAAAAGTTTGCAGAGGCAGGGAACAATGCGTCTCTGGTATTCCTCTTCATTAAGCAATCTTCCGAGTTTGAATAAAGGAAGCAAGATATGAGATCCTGCATCACCATATTCGTAAGTCTGAAACCAGAAAGTAATTGAGTTCCAAAACTACTAAAAATAGTTGGCCTTTCGTGGAACTTTACAATACTATTCAAAAACAAGTTTTTAAGCAACGCCTTCTCCGTAAAAGTCTCTGTTCATTAAACTTTCATTTGACCTTGCTTTGAAAAACCAAGAATTTTCACAATTATTTGCACCGCACCCTCTTATCCTTTATAGTTAAAGATAAAGTAAAGAAGATAACAATTAAAGGCCAAAGGCAAAAAACAAATACATCAGACAGGACAACATTGAAAGAAGAAAAGAGGTAATGCGTACCATCCTCAAAAATTTCTTTTCGGCCTAATTCTAGAGGATACAGAAGTCTAGCTAAATGTAAATGCTTTGTTACTATTTGGGCAGTTAGAAGAAATTTCAAAGTAATTTTGAAGTTCCCACGCAAAATAAACCATTATAGATGGAAGGAAAACTTGCATATGTGAAATAAGCTACTGTAAGTTTGACCACAATAAATAAAAAACAATTTTATGGTGAGACTCTCCATTACTTCAAACGCGTAGAAGTTTTAATTAACCGAAACCGTTCCAATATTTTTGAAACAGCTTATAACATGCGGCTACAGTCTTAAGTCTAGAGAGATTATGGAAAAAATCTCAGTTTTTAACTATTCAAAACGACCTTTTAACACTCGTTAACTTTTAAAAAAAAAGTCAATGAAACCAGGCCGCTAAAGTGCTAAAAGGAAAGCCATTCAAACCTGATACCCCAAAATCTGGTCCAAGAACCATTCTTTGGGAAACAGTATTTGAATAAAGCAAAATAAAAGCTTCAAAGTACCTCAATTAATTTCGGCAATATTTTGAATTTTGCTATATCATCAGGAAAAATATTTATTTCATCATTTAGTCTCGTGAAAAAAGCTTGTTTGTCGTGCGGATCCTTCAACTGAAACTCTTCGAGGAATAGAAGTGTGTCAACAAAACGATTTTTAAAAACACCGCCAGTTCCCCTGCAGTCTGAAAAGAAAAATTTCAACAACCTGATTTCAGACTTAAAATTGCATGAGGTTTGAGCAGCAGAAG